TTTTTTTGGTTTTTCTCCGGTACCGGGAACTGAACTCACGACTTTGCGCTTGCCAGGCAGGCGCTTTGCCACTGAGCTAAATCCCCAGCCCCTATAATCAAAATTTATATCATATTCTTTTTTATTTTCTTGAGGGTGGGGAGGATGGAGTAAGTTTAAATACACTGTTGGTAGAACTTACAAGATGTAACAGACTGCACCTTACCACTGTCATCTCATCTAATCCTTATCAGATGGGTTTTACCACCTCCATTTTGCAGAAATGTGCAGAAGACAGAGACTCAGAGAAGTTAACAGCTTATAGTTAGGAGCTGCAGACAGGAGGGGGATTGTTGTGTAGGTATGAATCTTCTTTGGTGTCGAGAATGCTGTTTTCTGGGTCAGAAACTCAATCTAAATGCCGTGCTGTATTTCCTACGTGTAGGTGCTCAGAAATGCAAAATTGGATGGAGTTATTGCCTCTGAGCTATTTTTCCACTCTGCCACTTGGGAGGTAATCTTCAACATTGATGTGAAGATTTTATGAGCCCTGAATAGTTTTTAATTCCAAGTGACATCACCTTCCTTTTCAATACCTCATTCCTCACTCTTCTCCCTCCCATTCACCATGGTAGTAGACATTTCAAAATGCACCCACATCCCACAGTAGTAAATATCACATACAGGCTCTCCTCAATTTTGCATAGTACTGGGTTCACTGAAATTATAAATAGCAGAACTAATAACTCCCCTTCCATAGTTGTATGATAATGTGGATATATGAGTGAAAGTTGATAAATTAATACAATGTTGTTGCATGGGGGAAACATTTAATTAAACCTCCATCAGCTTTGATTTTATAGTTGCTTTTTAAAATTTTTATTAGCATATGTCTGCAATACATAATAAACATATTCATCATGGGCCTTTTTGAATTTTGGAGCCAACCAGTTGTTTTTTTTACCCACGACCTCTGAAAAGCACACAGACACAATGCCGAAGTTCCTGATGTTGCACCTGCTCCATGTTGAAGGTGTGATTTTGCCCCAGGTGTGATATGGACACAGGGACTTGAGAATCCTGCCATGGCTCACCTCTAATGTCACAGTGTGGGTTACGAGATATGTAAATGCAAAACTAGAAAGTTGACCCCTGCTGTGCCGCATATGAGATGTCTCCACCTGGGTTCTTTGGTCCTCAGAACCTTTGATATGTTACTTGGAAATTGTGACACAGCTGGCTGTGAAAAATACCTGTAAGCGTCATGACAATGCTTTTGTTTTCAGCCCACTCGGTGGCTGAGGTGCTTGGGGCTTTGAACCCAGGAAATTCCCCAAATAAACAGCTGCTGTTGGGGTGAAGGTTAGAGCTGGTACCTTGATCAGCTTGCAGTTCTGCTGGGGCCTGGGGTTAGCATTCAGCTCATCTTTGTCTCTGCATGTTCAAGGGAAGGTTAGTAACCTTGTTGGACTAACTCTGTGAAGAAAAATGGCACGCACCAATCCTCCCTGTCCCAGGTGCTGCATGCAAAGAAGTGTGATCCTCATAAATGCCCCTGATGGCCACCATACTTTCTTCCTTTGTTCATCACAGCACAGGACTACCTGCATGCATACCTGGTATAACATGTTTAACTTTTCATCTGGCACAACTAGTCTTACCAACTGACTTATACATGTGGAAGTACAACAGGGAGTAGCCAAAAGAACAAGGCCTAGGGCTGGGGATTTAGCTCAGCGGCAAAAGCGCCTGCCTGGCAAGCGCAAGGTCGTGAGTTCGGTTCCCGGTACCGGAGAAAAAAAAAAAAAAAAAAGAACAAGGCCTAGCCAGGCATGGTGGGGCACACCTGTAACCCAAGTTCTTTAGGTGGCTAAGGCAAGAGAGTTGCAAGTTTGGGGCCAGCCTAGACAATAGCGAGATCCTACCTCAAAACATGACATAATAAAGAGCAAAATAAGGGGCTGGGGATTTAGCTCAGCGGCAAAAGCACTTGCCTGGCAAGCGCAAGGTCATGAGTTCGGTTCCTGGTACCGGAGAAAAACCAAAAAAATAAAAAATAAAAAAAAATAAAGAGCAAAATAAAAGACAGATAGTAGGAAACAGGAAGATAGATCTTTTACAAAAGGGAAAGTGACCAAGAGAGAAAGGGAGGGAGAAGAGAGGGGAAGGAGATAAAAAAAAGAATTAAGATGTGTTATATATATATACCAACTCCCATAATGAGTATAATCATTATGCAATGCAAACATAATAAAAAATTGTTTAAATTTTAAAACAATATAAAATGGACTTGGATGTACAGTGATACCTCAGTTGTCAAATTCAATGCATTACAAATTCATGTTCAAACACCGAAAAGTTCAAGGACTGAATATATTTTCCCATTAAAAAAAAAAATGGAAAACCCAAGTAGCTGGTTCTGAGGCCCAAAAGTTACACTTAAACATTCATTTTTCCAGGATTTTAACAAATTGCACAATGATTTCTTTAATCCTATCATGGTTCTCCCAGTTTTCCTCTTAACTTCACTACCTGTGTCACTAACTTTCTTTGAAGCCATGGTTACAACATTTTATGCAAATAAAGTCCAAAAAGGAAAAAGCACAATGCTGAATGTTTTAACCACTAATGCAAGCACCTTATGTTGTCGGGGGAGGGGGGCAGGGGGTGCTTAGACTGAGGTATTGCCCCTTTGTGCCCACACGGAGATGCAACCTGTGACTCACTCTGAGGCCAAACAGATTTTTTCAAGTCAGATTTTCAGTTGTACTATTGAGCAAAATTATAAAATACCACCCAGAATTTTTTTGAACTTTGCTGTTCAAGTAGTGAAAAGTTCGTTCTTAGAGCTATTCGACAACCCAAGTATCACTGTAGCTTGATAGTAGAGACCCTCTAGGTTCAATGGTGGGTTGGGGACCCAGGCCTTAGATTCTAGCTGAGAAAAACTACAGTCTTTCTTAGCAAACTTCTAATAAAATCAGGAATAACACCTACCTGACAGAACTGCACTAAAGATTAGATTTATTTTAATAGCAAGCAAAGTACCCATCATAATCCATGGTCCATAGCAGACTGTGAGGGCCAGGCATGGTGGTGCATGCATGTAATCCCAACACTTGGGAGGCTGAGGCAGGAAGATCATTGTGAGTTTGAGACCAACCTGTGCTACAAAA